AAAAAAAAAAAAAAAAAAAAAAAAAAAAAAAAGGTCATCTTGAGTGAACTTGAGTCATTTGTATGCTAATGTATTTGGATTTTTTTCATCATATGTGCGTGGACCACTGCAGCTGCTGGAAGCCGCTTTGACGGCCATGCACACAGCGCACTTGATAGGAGGCACGATCGGGGACCGGATTTCAACTGCTCTTCTCCGGCTAATGAAGGACCGTCTTCCGTCCATCGTACGCTGCTTGTCCGTTCAAAGTACCCATGTTCGAGCGATGTCCATCTCCTTGTTGCGGCGTTTAGTGCACCATCCAGAGCTGTGCAAGAATGTGGTGAGCGAAGCGGGGGGAGGAAGAGGGGGTATGGGGAGGAGGGACGATGAAATTTGGGATGACGACAGATCAAGGCACGGAGCGCGCGCACAGGCACAGTGCTCGTCGCCGCGCGCTGGCATGGCCGATCGCGCTTCGCAGGATGCTGAGGGGGTGTGCTCCCCAGGAGGCAGCAGATGCGAGGCAGAAAACTGGCAGCGCGATATTCAACAATGCATACTGTGGGAAATGAACTATCGACGAGCAGGTGGTCTTTCTGTCTCCCTCTTGGCCGATGCGGCTGGGACCCTCGGATGTCAGGTTTCCATCTTTTAAGATTTCATCCTTCCAGGGGCTGGGGCGCTTCGCAGGATGCTGAGGAGGGGATGTAAGTACACTGCTATTGAGAATAATCGTGCACTGCTCGCTGCACGCTATTAAATTGTTCATAACAAGTTAATGAGACATGTATACCTGAAGTGTTACAAAAGAGTTTGAAAAAGAAAGGTTCAGTTAGAAAAAAAAAAGAATTGAAGTCTTAACACATTATTCAATAATATTCATATTAAAAGTAATAAAAACGGTAAAATAATGGTAGAATGTGAAATAAAAAGGAATGAATTGGGTCTTTACTACTCTCTAGTATATATAAACATAAACTCCAGAAGCTGAAGTGCAATGATCCGAGTACCCAAACAGCGCTCTCAACCTTGCTCTGGTCTCTCTCTCTCTCTCTCTCTCTCTCTCTCTCTCTCTCTCTCTCTCTCTCTGTATATATATATATAGGGTTCAGCCTCCTGATGAGTCGGTGAAACTCCGACGAAACAGTTTGTCACAGCCCCTCGTTTGTTGTCCTCTTCTCTCTCTCTGCCTACGGTTTACCGGGCAGTTCTGTTTGTGACGATATATATATATATATATGTATGTATGTATGTTCCTTCTGCCCCGGCCGGGCAAGTGGTCCCGGGCAACTCTGGTAGCCTACCAAAAATGCTAGGAGCTCGAATTTCACCTGCCTTCACGCCATTATTCTTGCAAGGATCACATGCACGTTTATGTTTGTCAGTTCAGGGGGCTCAGATGTCAGATGTTGTCCTTTGTTTTTTTTGTTCCCCCCCCCCTACCCCACCATTTGGCCTTGGTGTTAACTGGATATCCGTTCGTAGACAGCCAAGGCTTCGCCCCCCCCC